ATCGAAGGCCCTCGTGTAGGGGCAGCCAATCTCTTACATGGTCACGATAGCTAGATTCAACTCAAAACGAAGGGAGGCTATTATTATACAACACTCTCCCACAATTAAAGAATAGTCTGTAGAGAAGAAGCAGGACTTTTACAGACAACTGATTGTAGTAATAGACAAGAACCCACATAGATGATGACATTAAAGTTCTTGAGAGTGATACGAATGGCAACCAAACCTGGGGCAAACAACACAGGAACAGAACTCGTAGGTCTATTGGTACTTGGTGAAATGAATGAGAATGCAGAACTCCTTGCGAATCTCCGCAACATTATTGATCTGCCGGTTGGAAGCAGTGTATAAAAGCAAAGTGAAGTCAGCTAACCAGAAGGACATCCCAAAAATCAGATAGACTTCATCACAATCTCAAAAAAGTGAGGGATCAGCTTACTGGGCTCAAGAAAGAGATGTAGGCTCATTCCAAATCCCAAGATCAAGTGGAAAAAATTCAAAGAAAGTGGAGACGGAGCTCAATTCAAGTTCAGCACCCAGTGATCACGAATACATCGGCAAATATCAAAACGCGAATGGAAGAACTCGATAACTCTTTAAAACCGAAGAAAAGCACAATTACTCCTATCATTTACAATGTCAGTCGGTTATGCACAGCATCAATAAGCCAAATCTGACTTATACCAACCTCAACCTTGAAGAATTCAGCAGGCTTACTATCCATGATTGTAAGTCATGATACCATTATCTCACACCTAAAATGCACTTGACAATTTTTAGAGAAATTTTTTTTTTAAGTGTAGCATTTCCAGTCTTTCAAAGACGTCCACACTGGTCAAGTTGAAACTGAAATAGTTCACTGCACCAGGATGCAAATCACGTCGAGAAAATCCGTCATCGTAATAGCATTTTATCATAAGTAAGTAAAGATTTGGGATGTTTGTTTGTGAGATTCACACTCGGTACATCCTATATAAATAACCATCCCCGTGTGCCATATATTGGTGAAGTGCCCTTAACAAACCTGTGAAACATTTACCTTAACGCTATCAACTTCTAAAAGGCCTTCGACAGACAGCGTTGACCGGGAAATAATTTGGAAACTACTTCAACATCACGGCCTGCATCAAGTCTTTATCAACCTCATTCCACAGCTTTATAACGATGGCATGTATCAGGTGATCCACAACGGAAAATTCAGAGAGGCGTTCATCAAAGTGAACACAGGAGTAATATAAGGACATCTATAACTAACACCGATGATATTCCTAATTCTGGTGGACTGGATTATGTGGCACACCATATGTGTGCTTTGAGAAAACATGAATGCGCAAGACCATCAATAAGAAGACTCCAGCATATCTGAATTTCACAGATGATATATGTCTGACGTCAAACAAACTCCAAGATTCACTGGCAGAGGAGGCTAGCAGACAGCGACTACAGGACTCCAAGTGAACATAGGGAAGGCGGAGGTGATGAATATAACGATCGAATCACAACAGCAACAACAACCAGCATCAATTACCATCAATGGGAGAGATTTAACAGAGGTTACTTCCTCCCTTTATTTATCTAGGAAGCATCGTTTCAACTACAAATGGAACGGATGAACATTTTAAGGTCAAAATCGGAAAGGGAGATAAGCTTTGATCAACCTGACACTAGTTTGGAAATCTTCTGCAATCCGCCTCAGCATATGGAACAAAATTCAGATTGAGCCTAAAATAACTTATTGCTCTCAGGATAATCCCTAATAATTTGGTTGTTAGATTTTCAATAGCTTTATCTATTTACAAATGCATTTTACGCTTTGTATTATTTAATGGTTGCAGTTCTCATAAAAAAACACATTAAGACTAGTAGGAGATACAATTTAGTCATTATAGCATCATTTCTTTTCGTTGCCGCAAATTCTGATTTTAAGTGATTAGGCGACTACGCTTTTTAGGTGCCTCAGAAGCATGAAATGAACTCGTATGAAATCGATGGAGGTGGTGTTTTTTTCTTTTCTCAATATTTACTATGGATTTTTAAGACTTCCTAATGAAATGAACAAAATATTATTTAATATTCAGCATACTTCATTTATTTATCAAATCAGGCAGCTTAATTTGATATTCAAAGACGTGTCTGTTCATATATGCATAGAATTTTAAATCTGGCTCACTGATTTTTTTTTACCTTTCCTTATCTGATACCACTTTCTCTTTCTCAGTGGACTGGACTTTCCATGTGTTGAAGTTTAGTAAGGCAAATAGAACTAAAAGTAATACTTCAAACAAGAACTTAATAATTGCTCCCATTTGACATTCTACTTTATTATTTCTAATTTTGAATATTTTTTTATTTATGCTTTTCCAACTCTTGATTTCTATTCCTTGCTGGATAGTGTGCCACGAATCTCATCATTATTTTTTCATAATAATAAATCGAAATTCTTTTTATAGCGTATTTTGAGACTGAAAATTTGATTATTTCCCTCCATATTCATACTATCGATCCATAGTTATGTGTGTCAATTGAATTTGAAGAGGTTTATTGTGTTTAATAATTACATCCTTTTCCCCACACTTATTTACTCCCCTCTAATCTTTTATTTTCTCTTTCTATGAATCTTTTTTCTTTAAAATAACCACCTGGTACAGAGTAAACACAAGACGACTTCATTCATATTAAGTATATATATGTATATGCGCAGATAAAACAAATTCAAATCCTTTTTTTGCAAGACTGTGTCGAAGGATGAAGCAAAAATTGACTTAAATATTTTGTTCACCATTGTATGTGTGCATTAGTCCAATGAGACGCTAATTGCGTCAATACGTACGGAACGACAATAGATTACATTGTTTGTTTTTACTTTTGATTAACTGGTATTTTTCAGAAATCTATAGCTCCTGATTATAAAATTACTTCCGATTGGATGTCATTGCAAATTCCATGAAAGATTTGATATGGGGTTTTATTCTTTGTTATTTTTCTTACCAAATAAGTTTCCTCCCGTATAATATTTTTACTCCCTTCTACTACTGATTTCAAAAGTACTTACTGACTTTATTATCGGTAAACTGTAAGCAAAGTGAATGGTTTCGAGCTTGTCTATATTCATATTTCATCAGTCAAATGTATTACTGTGTGTTTTATGAAGACCATACGAGTTTTAGAATAAATGTCATCACAAAACAACATCAAATAAAGGGCATTTGGAAAACAGATGAGTTGGACAATTGTTCTGCTCCAATTTAAGTCTCCTTAATCGCTCACCAATTATTTACCGATCTCAAATCATTATAATTAGTGGCTCGTGATGTTCACCGAATCGCGTGTGAGACAAACTATGCGTCTATCCAATTGTATATTGCTAATGTTATGCTCCGAATTGTCAAATTTGGGAGGTCTTGTTTTCCTAGATAACATGCTTATTTAGAAAATCAACAGATTCAGAGAAGAATTATGTTCGTCTCAATTTGTTCCTCATTGTCGGCTCTACACTAACATATAATATTTTGCATCAAAATGTTTTACCGATCAAGTGGTCATTTTAGTTAATCAGTTTTAGTTATTGGGGTGAGTGAAATTATATATATATATATATATATAAATAATACACTCACGTCTTGAGCTTCTCACCTCTATAACACAAACGTAATCTGGTTAGACGCCTTGTTCATCGAGCTAGAGTTATCTGTCCAAATGAGACAGTGGACAAAGAACTCAGTAATACTCGCGATCTACCAAATAGAAACGGATATTCAACTAAATTTGTGAACACACACACGGACTCAGAAAGTAGGAAGTCGAAGTTGCCGTCTGTCCCCAAAAAGTCAGTCTTCCTGTGGCTACTACTCACGAATGATGTCAATAGCGAGATCTTATCACATCGACTGAGATGGGCCTTCTAAAGGATTTTCTATGCAGCTAAGCCATACTGTGTGTTTACTAGGCAATCAATACTTAATTCAAGAAATAAGGGCAGACTGCCCTGTTTCGCCTCTTCCATGTGTATTTACCAGTTTAATTGCCCTTGCGGGGCTAGTTACACAGGACGTACGATCAGTCAAGTTCATCGTCAAATTTCTGAACATTTCATATCTTGATTTGGCAAACGTCTGAATGACGTTATATGCAGATCAATACTAGCTCATCTCATCGATACTAGAGATCAAATCGACTTTAACAAAGCTTTTAAAGTTATTTATCGAATATCACCTAATCTCCTGCATGGTCTACGAGTACGACTTTGACGTACAGTAGAGCCAATTGGAATCCATCTGAACAGGCCGAATGTATGTGTGCAAAAGAGATTTGTACAGCCCCTTTCTTTGCCATGGTCAACTACATAATTTGTATTAAACTTTTGAAAACAATTTTCCCTCCCCTGGTAACTATCTTTTGACTTTGTTAATTTTTACAATTTCTACAATTCTAGCTCATTCTATTAATTTGTTTGTATTTTACGTAACTCTTCTGAGCCATCCTATTCTTCTTAGTCATGACTGCTATTTCGCAAATTTCTTGATTATATAATAACTTGTTGCCAACGCCAAAGAACCAACTAATCTTGAATTCCATAATTAATTTTCACTTCACCTTTTAAAACTTATATATCTTGTTACTAACATCTATTAGTTATTCGTTGTGATGACCTTCAACCTCTTGATTTCACCCCCACCTATACCTAAAACTGATTAACTAAAATAACCACTTGGTTGGTAAAACATTTTGATGTAAAATGCTATATGTTGGTGTAGAGCCGACGATGAGGACCTAATTTAAAAGGAACATAATTCTTCTCTGAATCTGCGTTTTTCTAAATGCGTAAATTGGAATTGCGAAATTGCATGCTGTAAAAATAAAACTCGTACGCTTTAATAGAGTATAATTCCATTATGGGTAAAGTATTTTTTTATTATTTTGATATGATTATGAACAATAAATTGTGCTCGAAACGTCATCAGTAAATATTACTGTATAACACTGTGAGACTTCATCAAAATAAATTTTACCCATAATGGAATTACATGCCAGTTACCAAATGATACGTTTAAGTCATAAAATGTCGTTTCTTTGTTCATTCGTTTTCATTGTCACTGGTGAACATGGCTGCAGACTTTCAAGATGGGACTAAATACATGTCAAGTGTTCATTTATTTTTCAGCTGTATATTAAAACTCAACATGTCACCGGGTCTCTGAACAGTTTCAAGTAACTGCCCTCTCATTTATTTAGGGTAGATAGAAAGGAATTCACATTTTGAAAAATAAGTGCAAAATCTATTTAATTAATTTTATGTCTATAGGTACCATTTTATGTGATTCTAGAACAATCTGCTTGAAAAAACAGCTACTTTTCTATTTGAAGCATTTCGGCTCTAAGGTCTGTGCGAAAGAAATTACTAATATGTATGTATAGTTTTTTCCTCTAGGCTTTTTACACAATTTTTCTCCCAGGTCACAGATACATTTTGTTGGATGAAGCTCACCCTACTTTGCAGAAAAACAACATGTTAAAACTTCATTCCTGACTGTTTGGATAATTTTTAATCAGTGCTTTGGTCCTGTATTCAAGAACAAAGTCATGTAGGTTTCACCAAGAAGCCATCTTCAGCAGCCAAGATAATTTCATGGAGAAAGTTTGATTCGTTTTATTTTTAATGTGAAATGGTAAAGCTGACTGACTCACAGTATTAATGCTTGAATAACTTCTTATCTGTGCATCCTTTTTTTGTTTTTCATTTCTTATTGTAGGCATCTCCTATTGAGCAAAGGACACACCACTTCTAATACTGAATAAATTTGATAATAATGATTACATTTTATGGATTAGAAACACACAATGTCCATAATATTTCAATAAATGCAACAACGTATTTAAGCAATTCAACAGTGTTACTCACTACTTCAGAAAAAGTGGAACTACAACCAGGTCTAATTGCCTTAGTATCACTGATGGCCTTTGTACTCTTAGTTATGATTGCAACACTGTTATTACCGAAATCAATACAAGATAATCTGTTCCAGTTAATTTTGAATCAGACACCAGATCAAACATTTAATTATATTGATGTTGGTTTGTATAAAACTAGACACTCCATTTATCGTAAAGAAGTTTACTCCTTAGCTATGCAAGGCAACCAATACAGAAAACGAGAAGAAACGCATACCTTACTTAGTAGTGATAAGAGTAGCAATTCATACAAATATAAAAATAACAGACAGTTAAGACCATTAGCTACAAAGTCAGTTATTGCTTCCGTTTCAACTCCAGAGGATTATGAAAAGTCTGATCAGTGTTCATGTTCAACCTCAGTATGTAAATCAACTCTCTCTTCATGCAACTGTCAAATTCAAAATGACAGTGTTCAGATGAAAAACACAAAATTAGTAACGTTTTCTACAAAAACCTGCTGTCATGAGAATGATGATGACGAAAATAATCATAATCATAACTGCAATAAAAATATTGACACTAATGTTAGCTGTGAAAGCTGTATGTATGCTGGCAGTCGACGAAATTCAACTTCAAATCTAGTCAGATATGATTCGTCAACTTGGAATTCATTTAATTTACTAACCACTTCCTTAAACACTAGATATTCCCTTCCTTTACGCTTTACTCAAAGCAATCAAAGCATAGATTCACTAAAGAGACTTCCATCCTCACCAATATTCCCGAAATCAAAACAGTCATTGTTGTCAAGTAAACGTGTACGATTACAACTATCAGATATTTATGTTGACAGATGTAAATAATGTGAATATCTTTCATTTTTATATTTAGAATACAAATGAATCTGGCTGGATAGTCAGTGTATTATAGTTTACACAGTTGTATGTTTGTCGTTTACACAAAAGATGAAAACAGTACTTAATAACTGAAGTTAAATTCAAATTGGAATAGCAGTACAGACAGTGAAGCAGTGGCTGGTAACCTGTCACTTGTCTGGATCTAACTGCAATCCAGGTAATCGTTTACCTTCAGTTATCTTTGTTATATGAAATGCGGTTATTTTTTTCCTTCAGTTATTGCCTACTCAATTTTTTGTAAATTATTCCCTTTTGTTCTTCTAGTATAGACAAACGGAATAAATACTTTTTCACAGTTGTTTGCTTGTTTGTAATTATTTATGCGAAATGTACACGTTGGGAGATGCTATTCTCAAGTTGAACTTGAGTGGGAGGGGGATATGACATAAACTAAACGAGTTTGATCTACACGCTGCTATCCATGTTACTTCGAAAATATTATTCTTGAGAAGTATAGTTTATGAAAACACACAACGTGGAAAACCTGAAATCATTCCCTTTCTTACTTACCTACTAATAACTTATTTTAAAATTGATTTAAACTGCCCATCGAACTTTTTCAAAAGAATGGTTAGTGAACAAAGAATACTCTTTTCGATAGCTTCATCATTAGGTTCTACAGTTTTGTATACATTATAGTGAATGAATTTCTGTTATGCACAAGATTGATGTTGTTTAAATAACATCGAATCAATAATATTGATAAATAACAGCTCAATAGCATCAACATAACAATAAACTGAATGTCAGAAAAATTGAGAAAGGTAATAATACAAACTCATGAATTTATAGTCTCCACTGCAGGCCAAGGCAGTAGTGGTGGCTACCTGGACTTGCTTCTTTTACACACAAATTACTGGTATTTTCACGCAGATCACGATAGCCTCTGCTGTTTGGAGCATGTGGTGCTTCGATGTATTTGGCGATTTATTTGGTAGTCGCTAGATGATAGAGAAGGATTCTTCATTGCCGGCTTTGTGACCATTTCGGACCAAGTGGTCCAATATATTACTGTTGTTGGTTTTTACTACAGCTGTACGTAGCCATATTGGGCGATGTTCTGGAGCACGAAAAATCAAGTTCCTAAAGCAATGGCCGGTATAACTCGCTCCACAAGCGCAGCTGAATCAGTAGGTACAACTGAAAGTAACTAGTCTAGGTACTACATCTTCCAATCGAGAAATCACCATCGCTCGTGTAGAGAATAATACGTGTAGTTCGCCAGCATTAAAAGTTCTTTAAACAGATTTTCTTAATTTCCTCGTAATTATTTCGCGTGGAATATCGCCCTTGAATTGCAGTCGTATGTATAAAATCTTCTTGTTTACGGATAGTGAGTAGTAATTTTCCACTTTCTTTGTCATGCGTTTCTTGATAAATTTTAAAATTTGCAATGATATACTTCCATTGTTCAACTAATGTTTTTCTTACTCGTGGATTCAATATGTGTTCAGCTAGTCAAGATTTCCACTAATCATTATCATGACGATGAAATCAAGGTTAATATTATTCACAGGGAGAACGTTTTCTCAAAATAGATGAAACCAATTAAACACTCCTGAACACATTCTTTTTCTAATAAAATAAAAGAATACTAGTGCATAATGCGGCACATGATCACTTACACGAATGTCGTTTTTCAAAATCTTAGGCCAGCTCAATCTTATAATCTGAAAGGATAAATAGAGTTGACAAGGACAGCTAAATGATTTTGCTAATCACCCTTCTTAACCATGCCTACAAATTAAATGAATAAATTACTTATTAATTCATCAAACTGCCAACAATTTCATCTTCATCGCACTGTCCTGACTGCCTTTCTTTCCAATATATTATATTGTGTTTTCACTGTTTTATCTCTGTTCCAATTGTTTTTAAATGATTCTTTGACGGGTTATATGGCAGCTTGAGTTGTTTTACAATAACGAGAAGTTTTATCAAGAATACACATTACTCAGTGAGGAGATTTCTTTTCTTAACTTCTCTTAGAAGTCATACAGTTTGTATATACCATTTTAATTACTAAAAAAAAGTTAGAGAATATTCTCAGCTAATAACAAATACAAATCAGAGAGAATGAGAAACAGCAGCGTATAAAAAATAGCGAATAATCTCCTGTAATTAAAAATGTTGACAAGCTATTAATTAAGTGATGAATATTTATTCAGAGATAGCCTATAAGAAAGTAGACTATAAGGAATTGGAAATGACTCATGAAAACAAATTACGCTTAAATTTTTATGCGACAGATGAAAATAAAACTAACTCTACATCCATGGTAGCAGAACAGTGTGGACCAAAAGTTTCTGAACACAAGTTCAGGTTTTTCTTTGCGGTATTTCATCTCAGATTCGAAACTAGCATATTTCTTTTCAAACACCACGATTATGGCAACCTCAAGATATTATTGAAGCGTCAGTATTAGGTAATGACATACAGATGAAATGTGAGCATTTCGATCGGATAAAATCAATCAAAGAAGAGTTAAAAAATGTCTTCTGTGAATAATAACCTCTCATTAATAACTCGGTTTTCAGTAACGCGTTAATTTTACCCAGAATAAAGATGGATGTTTTTGGATGGTGATTACGCCATGCTACAATCAAACTAATTTCCAGCTAGTACGTAGCATCATAAAAAATAATAACATACTCATCAGAAAGCGTAAAGGTAGTAGATTAGATTCTTTTTTAGAGTTCACATAATTGAATATGCTTACTAAAAGTATATGTAATTTATCACATTGATGATGCCTGTAAGCTGGTGTCCCCCATGTACAAAAGATGAGAATTTATTATTATTATTGAAGTGCTGGAAACTGGAACCAGAAGACATTCCGCGAAAGAGCAAGGGTTGAAATAATGCGTGACTAGTTCATTGCTAATTTCAGCTTTGAAACATTTATCAGTAGTTTTGGATAATTTTATTTGATATAACATACAGTGATCTTGTATTAGTAACTGGATAACGTTTCGAGTATTATTTATTACTCATTATCATATCGGTGTATTAACACAACTTGGTAACTCACTTTATATAGTCCTACTCTCTTCTGTACTCAAATCCTGCTCTTACATTTATCAGTATTTCTAAAAAAGGCTGTGGTGATTAACTATTTCTATCTCTGTATTCTTTAAATACTTACTGTTGATTGTTAATATTTCTTATATGAATTGCAATGTAATTCCGCTAAATACAAATTCCTGAATTCCGCCCTCTCTGTGTTTTGGTTGGATTCTTGTAATTCGGTCATCTCGAAATACTAATACTATGATTACAAATAATTACAACAAATTGGCGTCGCGATGGAACTAAATAACCTTGGAAAATTTCTTAAAAATGGTTCACCACGGGAAATTGCTGATTATCTTGAATGCTTCGATGCATGGTGCATTTCAAAGAACGTTTGGGATGACAAAATACCAGCACATTTCATTACTGCTATTGGGCTAGATGCATATAGCCTAGTAAAGACTCTGGCGTTTCCAGATAAACCCATTTCTCTGTCATATGACAAGATCCATGAACTTCTGATAAATCACTTTCATGTAACTACTTTTGAGACCAGAGAGAGGGCTCAATTCCATAAACTGGTTCGTGCTCCTAACCAGAAGATAAGAGACTTTATTCTTCAACTTCAAATACAAGCTTCAAAGTGTAACTTTGGAGATCAGCTGCATACTCAACTACGTGATCGTCTAATTGCTGGAATCAATATTCCCAAGTTAGAGAAAGAGTTAATTCAGATTCCTTCTTGTACCTTTCAAACTGCTAGAGATTTATGTATTACATATGAAGATGTCAACAGTGAATACTCTGCTCCCACTACGTCAGTATCTGATGTCATGCTGTCCAAAGTCGAAAATACAAGTGTTCATGGAAAGCAATCCAAACTGTCGTCCACAGGTAATAGAATGCAGCGAGAGATTAAAAACATTAAATCGTGTTTTTCCTGTGGAAAGTCACATCTACGAAGCACTTGTCGTTTTCGGGGTGCTAAGTGTCATAAATGTGGTAAAGTTGGACGCATCAAGACTGTTGGCAGAAGTTCGAATACTTATGTTACTCAGAATTCTTATAATTCTCCCAATCTGTCTAGTAAAATGGAGCCAATGTGTCTTTCAACTTTTCAAAATACTCAGTCTCATCCAATGAAAATCTCCACTACAAGTTCAGCAACTCAAGCATCAACTGTTTTCAAAAATGTGGTAGCCGATTTACAATGAGAACTGTTGAAAACACGGAAAAAACTGAATGAGATGAGAGAGCAACTCATTAAAATGGAGGAATTGCTGCATATGCATAGGCTGCGTCTGTTGAATGCAGAACATACAAGTATCCATGAAAGTCCTGCAAGACTATTCAAATCTCGAATTCTCAGGAAGCATCTGATGTCCACGAATTCTGATGTACATTATTACAGAGGGAATGACTATAGACCTTCTATTGGTATCATACTACAAAGAATGGGAAATCGAGTGGTGAAGATATTAGACATCGAAGATAATTCAGTTCATAACAGACACTTGGATCAAGTGAGAATAAATGAGGTAGGTCGTTCCAATTATGATTATAATGACTCCGCTACTAATTCTGATTTTGTAGATAATTCAGAAATAAGTCCAGATAATACTGATGAAAATAACATCACAGAATCAGTTAAAAGGTCGCAGCTACTTGCAAGCAAACCAAGACATCATTATAAATACGCAAGGAGATATTCGACGTGTGGTTGATGTGGTGATTGATTATTTCTATCTCTGTATTCTTTAAATACTTACTGTTGAGTGTTAATATTTCTTATATGAATTGCAATGTAATTCCGCTAAATACAAATTCCTGAATTCCGCCCTCTCTGTGTTTTGGTTGGATTCTTGTAATTCGTTCATCTCGAAATACTAATACTACGATTACAAATAATTACAACAGAGGCTTTCAGAAGTGTACAAAAAGAGACGTACAGTCATTAAAAAAGTGTTTCATTTTATATTTAACTGCTTGAAGTTATCCTATTACTAACTGACGTAATAGCATAATGTTACATTGAATTTGAAGAAATGATTGCGCATTATTTATGATTCAAATAGACTTCGCTTTTAACTGTACGAGTACTTATTCAAACAATCGACAACTAAATTTTCCTGAAATAACAGTATAATGCGTATTCTAGTGAACTAAAAACTAGACTATTTTATTCTAATGTCTTGGGACTACCTGGAATCGTGTTTTGTGGTGTCATTCTCATGGTTGAAATTTCCATCGACCTCATGACTGGCAGTGTAGTCAACGAAATACATTTTTACTCATTAAGACTGTTAGATGAATGTTTCAGTATGGAAGTTAGGGTGGTAATAATAACAATGAGTGATTACGTAAACTGAAGACATGTAAATGATCAACA